CGGTGAAACGTCTGGGAATGTACCAAGTAAATGGATCTAACCAGGAAATTATCATGCTTACTATGGACTCCGGACAAGATGCGTTTCTCCAGGTATTCCTGCCAATATGACAAAGCTGCGAAAACCAAGTCAAATAACTTCTATACAACGAAAGGAGACAGCGACCACACAAAAAGGCCACAGCATCCTGTTATTCATAGCTTCAGCTAAATTGACTTCATAGCTGCTTTCGATTATTTGTTCAGTCAAGAGAGTGACTTTAGGGACTTGAATAAGATGTAACTTCAGAGCAGTTAACCTAGAACTTTACAATACAATTCGTTTAACATTCAGATTTCACAAGAAAGCATGCATTTTATCATATGTAAACATGTGTGAACTTTAAGTATTAAAACATGGACTCACAATAAAAGCTTTGAAAACAAACAGGAAATTATTGTATCCTAATAGAGAAAGAAGTGTGAAAAGCCCTAAACATTGTATATTAATTACCAATTTAATGTATCCCAGTGTGTCAATTCGACCACCTAACTATAAAAAAATACAAATGCTCTAGATGGTAAAGCTCACCTAAAAAGGCTAGAGGCTATAAACGTGTATTGAATTAGATGGGTCAATACGAACCTATTTTACATTAAGCTTAAAATTCATATAAAGGAAATTTAAGTCTGGGGAAAAAATTAAATTGTGGATGATTTTTATTCATCAAAATATTCAGATCTCTCAATTTGATAATTAAATACATGAATACATAAATGTTAACTTTTATAAATGCAAAAATTCAACGACACTAAGCTTACTGTGATTGTAGTATCCGCAGCCCTTTCTGTCCACTCGACCGCTGGGCATAGGGGCGTTTGCACAACAAACTCCGCGTGTCTGAGTGCACGAGCGATTGCTGAGGATGCAGAAACAGCTAAACCAGAGGCAGAGACAGGGTTCAAAGCCAGCATCGTGCTGAGCAAGTTTGTGAAACGATCCACAAATGGGAGGTGTGATGACTCTATGTCTAGGGTTAAAGGTAAAATTAGACATATAACAACAAATTTGCAAACCTTCCAAACGTCGATTGTCTTTTTGAATAAAGTGAAAAAGAGTTTTAAACATTTTTTCAAATGATTATACAGATGCGAATATGCGTGCCCAACACTCAGACATTCAAGATTCGTTTATAGCCATATTGATAAATAAATAGGATGTAATAATAATGTGTTGGCATTCACGTACAAAAGCCAAGTTTAAAGTAGCACCTATATATTAGGCTAAAATACTGCGAAGTTCAAATAAAAAGAATCTCATAGAGACAGTCTCTCAAGTATAGCAAGTATTCAGAATAATCTCTATGAAGAAATATCCACCCTGATGAATGCATGGAAGTAACATGACCGTACCCAAGGTATAGTTGAATTTATAAAAGCTATTTGTTTTTACTAAGGTGAGCGATTTCTAAGAACCTATGTAGACTAAGCCTTGAAATTTAAAAATGCTAATTATTGAAATGCACGAGGGGAACCTAAGTATAATATTTTTGAAAATTCACCAAATTTTATCAGGAAAAAATAAAATAAATTGCAGCAAAAGAAAACAAGTTTGGATCCTAATGAAATAGAACCTTTAAACAAATATTTGAGCTCTAATTTTTCACAAAAATTGAGGGGAAATTTACAAGAATATTCTAGGCTGACATACGAGTAAGATCATTGATTTAAATATAACAAATAAATGAAAAATAAATAAAATGGGCTGACGAAAATTTAAGCTTTTTACTACAGAGCAAATCCATATTAAAAATAAATAGAAAAAAAGAACCTGAAGCTGCTTTAATAGAACATTGAAAAAAATATTGGAAAAAAATAATAAAAGTAAAAAATATTTATTGCAATACACTAGACCTAACGAATAGAAATATATAAAAAATAAAAGCAATAAAAAATGATTTATAGATTTAATTTCATGTCAAGCTTGTTATATAATCTACAGGGGCTATTTACATTCCAGCTATAAAATAAATGAGTGAATAAATAAAGGTGCTTTGCAAATGCATTAATTAAACTCAAAATCATAGTTGCGTCCTATTAACGTCATCACATGGCAATACAAATCTTAATATATTTATAGATCAAAGGAAAAAGGCTCGTCCAGTCGGACAATCAAATTACTTTACTAGATTAAATTCATACATGTAAAGACAAATTTTTCAAAATTCGCTATATGCTGATTTATTACAAAGCAGTC